ATCACACTACATTACATATATTACATTACATATATACTCTCTGCTACATTACATCTCCACGACACCACGTCTATGTTCATCGGTAACACTAGAACTGCACCGGGGGGCATTCAGAAGCAGTCCTCAAGTGGACCGTTAGAGAGGGCTCATAAAACTTATTGTCTTTCTACAACACGCAATATTTGTAACGTTTACTTACTATGCATTTACATTGCAAGGTAATATAGATATATGTTTTCGCACTTAGTGTTTTACGATTTGTAATATTCAGTGAATTAATAGTAAGGTAAACAAAGAGAAGGAATTTCCTACTGCCTCCGCTTCAAATTACATATAAGGCGGCACCACACATTCGGCAGTCGCAGACCAGCGAGTCCAGCCCCTTACAGTGGATGTGTTCGGCGAATGTTCACTCTCATGTGTTCTAAAGACCGACACGCAGTAGGTAGGGCGAATGCCGAATGTTCGGCGCTCGGCGAATCGCAAGCAACGCGTCCACACTATTGGGGATTCGGCGAACGGTTGCTCGGGATTCGCCGACTGCCGCATGTGCGGAGCCGCCTTTGCAGACTGACACCGACTATACGAAGCGCAGGAAATTCGAATTTACCATTTCAAATTGTTTTCAAATTTACTCGAAACAAACTTCACATTTTTGAAAAATTGAACATGACATTTGAAAGTCTTTTTTTGATGAACACATTTCATTATGAAAACTAATGGTCCTACAGAATAGCACAGACTTGCCCGTATTTGTTTTCTAATTTCTTTGGTCTCAGCTAGCTATTCGGACTTGCCACGTACTCTTGCCAGCTGCATTCTATCGCCGCCGAATTACATTTAAAAAAATATGTATTAATTTATCGGTTTCCTAATAGTAGAACGGAAATATTATTTTAAGAATATTGAAGAACAAATTACGTCCTAAATGGCACATTTTCTTTGAAAAACTTGGAGCCGTTTTTAAGAAAATGTCGTTTAAGATCTATTGTAAATACGAAAATTGAAGTTCTTTTTCACAAAAAAAATTGAATTTTCGATAAACTTCATTAGAAATCATTTGAAACACATATACAATAGTGTTTACAAATTGCTAGAAATGAGCACATTAACGGCGTGAGAGATCTTTCAAAAAATTACATTTGTGTAATTTTTGAAAAAAAAATCACCAAAATGGACTTTTGTCTTATAAAGAGTGAAATTAACACTATCCGTTCAAAATATTTGAAAAAAGTTCTATAAACATTTGGTACGGGTAGTGCTAAATATACTCTATAAGATGACATAAACGCAATATTGCTCTATTTTGTTTTTAAAAAAATTACAAAAATGTTATTTTCGTATACTTGTCTCTTGTTCACAAAAAAGTTCAGTTTTCTAAAAACTTCATTAGAAGTAATTTCAAGCTGATTAACTTACAAATACAACAATGTTCACAAATTGCTGGAAATATGTATATAATCGGAATGAGATATTTTTGAAAAAAATCACATTTATATAATTTTTGCAAAAACAAAAAATATAAACTCCGAAATGAACTTTACGTCATATTAAAGAGTGCAATTAGCACTATCCGTTCGAAAAGTTTGAAGACAAAATATGAAGCCGCTTTAAAGAAATTGGAGTTTGGGCGTTTCCAAAAATGAGAGATTTTGAACTCATTTTCACAGAAAACTATTGAGTTTATACAGTTGACATTTTTAACAACGTGTACTTATAAACACAATAGCGAGAACAAATTGCCTTTAATATAAATATTAATGACCTGAGAGACAATTCAAAAAATACAGTTTTGTAATTAAAAAAAAAAGAATAAAGCAATATGGTGTCTAAAGTCATCTTTTAGAGTACATTTAGCACTGTCCCTACCCTATCCCTACCAAAAGTTTAAAGAAAAAATTTGGAGACGTTTTTGAGAAAATCTTGTTCTTGTAATTTTTTAAACAACACATTTTGCTCGCACTATTGCGCAAAACTACTAAAATTTTCTATAAAATGTACATGATCTTAATGAAAGGACTATGGAAAAAAAGAGGGACTGCAGTGACAGTTGATGCCCTGAGCCATCTCTCCCGGTCCAGTTTTTGAGAAAATTTTGAAAATGTCCGAGAGCTTCATGTAAAGTACCCCGAATTTTAATAATTTTTTTTCAAAATCTCAAGTATTCGACTGAAGCCAGATTCAATGGTTTATTCAAGCCAGGTTTCTTCAATTTGGAAAAAATCCCACATATGGTTTAGGCGCTAGAAGTGTTCACAGACGGACGGTCAGACAAATGGACAGACGGGCAGATGGGCATTTTGAGAAAAAAGAAAAGAAAAAAGAACTACTTTTCGGTATCAGGGGAACCCAAAACCTGTATTTCCGTTGAAATCTCGATATCGATTTTCGAAACTTTCCCTATACTACATACAATACTCCGTAGATACGTACGTAAACGTGATACTAAACAAAACATATAACATTTTCTTGCAGGATATTTAAACACAATATTGCGATTTAAATTTTTTCTTCGTGGACATTTATCTTCTTAATATTCTCATCAGTTTCACGAAAATGATCTTATTGAGTAAGTGCTGTAAAAAGTTGCACCATCCCATCAACAAGAAATGATTCTCATTGGAGCAGTGGAGTGTGAATCGGCTCCGCCTCGTTAGGTTTGGCTTCTCAGGAATGAATTCCGGAAGCCCCCTGCTGTGTTCCTTAAAATTAAGACTAGTAGTCATAAAATAATTGTTTTAAAACTTTATTACAATTCTACACAACAATCCCTTTCGACCTCCTGTCATTAAAATTGGTGCGAAACCGTAGGTGAAGTAACGTTAATAAATAAAAAAAACATAACTCGTTAAATAAGGGATATATTTTTTTAGAATTATATACATTTCTCTAAATATTTTCACTTCCTATTTATATGCATATTTCACTACTTAATGTTATATAACTCCCAGCTCTAATAACAAGCGCTTTTATTTCTCGAACCGTCGGAGATGGCGGTCCTTTTGTTAGCACTGTGACCTTAAGGAATGTGAATTGTGGATGAAGACTTCCACAGCTAGGAAATGTCTTTACAAATATTATATTTGTATGTCGCAACAATGAATTAATACTATTTGTTCAGATGAGAATCGTTTCCATGCAACGATGGGTTAGATTTCTAAAAATTTGCAGCATAACAAATAGAAGTAACAAAATTTTACCAAAAATTTAAAAGTAATTCGGCAGGTAATGTGTGTTCATTTGGACAAGTGTAGCTGTTATGCAAGCCTAAGACACGACGTAGCTTTCTGTTGTAGAGCGCCACGCATGGATCCAGTGCCAGTGCTTTTTACATTAAGTTTTTGCTAGGTTATCGTAGTGTTGATTTACACCTGCTTCCCATACGATCTGAAACCATACATTGTTAGTGACTCCTACCCAAAATATGGTGGTTTTGAAGTGTTGTACAGTTTTGACAGATACTTGGCATGCTTATGACAAGGAAGTACGATGGACAGTAAGTTTTTATGCTTTTGGATGTGATATAATAGACTAGTGAGTTTGCATGTTACACATCTCATGTTGTCTTATCCGTTCTTAGAATCGCGAAATCATGTTGACTGTGTAAAGAGAAAAGATATTCATATTATCAAGCAATGTACTTGTTGATTTGTTACATACCTCCCCGTCGTTTATTTCTTCAATTACTTGTCTTTTGAGGGAGTTAATTCTTCTTTTGATATCTCTACCGCAGCGTATAAGTTATTTCTGTCAATAGCACAAAAGTTACCTTTCCGCCTGCATGCTCACCTTCGAAAATTTTTCCTGTACGACGTGGTTGCTATCGACCTACAAATTCAAATGCTTTATCTTTTGATATAATTGTATTCTCAAATTGATTATCTTTTAATATTTAACGATGACTTTCGTGAACATTTTTATGCTGCCTTTTTGCAGAAGCTTCAAGTAATTATAGATTCATTGTAGATGTGTTTTATAAATTGATTATGTTTTATTATACCTGTTACTCTTAAGAACTGTTCTGAAAAATGGTTTTATGGAAAAGTACAGTGTACAATAACATTAATCATTGATGTACAGTAAGAATATTAATGGTGATTCTACGATCATGGAGAGCTAAACGCTCGAATTAATCTTTGTTCCAGGTGCCTTTCGGGTCCCATCCCACAAAATTCTTCGTTGATGCTTCAATGACAGCTAGTTGGTTAACGTGTTGTCTCCTACCAAACCAATGATTCCTCGACCAACACGCGGGCGAATCCGAGCTAACCTAGTCATCTAGCTTGATGGCTACACGTTTGAGTCCTCGGAACTCTGAAGTAAATGCTCTAGAGCAACGAGGATATTTAATTGGAAAAAAGATCGGTCAAGGTTCATATGCAACAGTGCATCTTGCCGACTATGTCGACGGTACAACTCCGAAGAAGATGCGCCTCGCGTGCAAAATCTTTGACAAGGAAAAAGCGCCAAGAGATTTTCTTGACAAGTTTTTCCCCAGGGAATTGGAAATCCTGACAAAAATAGAAAATCCGCACATTATTCAAGTGCACAGCATACTCCAGCGTGGACCACGAGTATTTATTTTTATGCGTTACGCCGACAATGGTGATCTTCTAGATTTCGTTAAACGTAACGGTGTCGTCCCTGAACAACAGTCCAAGTTATGGTTTCGTCAAATGGCTAGTGGTCTGCAGTATCTCCACAGCAAAAACATAGCGCATCGAGATTTAAAATGCGAGAACATTCTTCTTTCGCGAAGGTTTAACGTCAAATTAGCCGACTTTGGGTTTGCTCGTTTTTGTGTAGATCATGAAGGACGAAGAGTTCTTAGTCAAACCTATTGCGGATCTGCTGCGTATGCTGCTCCAGAAGTTGTAAGCGGAACGCCTTACAATCCCAAATTAGCTGACGTTTGGTCTTTGGGGATCATTTTATTTATAATGCTGAATGCATCTATGCCGTTTGACGACTCAAATTTAAGAAAACTATTAAAAGACCAAATGTCTAGAAACTGGGTGTTTCGTTCACGTGTGAGAGACACCGTTTCAGCTTTAGCGAAATCAATTGTGAGGCATATATTAGAACCAGATATCACATTGCGTCTCACGTTGGATCGAGTGCTGGCCCATGAATGGGTTCGTACTCGTAAAGATAAAACGGGTTCCCTGGCTGGACGCCTGGTGCATTCTGCGCCGCCAATACATCCTGGACATCACGTGTCATCTCCAACAGCCGCAGGACGGATCACAGGAATTACTGGGACGACCGACAACACATCATCAATTGGGTCACCTAGCCCTGGCAATTTTTCAGAATCTCCCAATGCAATGCGCCACATTGATCACAAACTTGTAGATCCGATAATCACCGCTAATAATCCCGGAACCTTAATGGCTGAGGAAGCTTAGACGCATGCGTTTTATAAGCAAAAAAAGCTAACTCTTAATGAATTAAAAACCTTATGACACATCTAAGAATATAAAGAAATGATCAAGAATCAGTGTGTCATAAGACAAAAGATGGAATATTCATTCTATCATGAACATGTTGAGAGATTTTGACAATTTTATCCTTCACGTGCAGAAATAATTGCTACACAATTTTAAAATATAAATAAATCAACTCTATAGAGCAACACTTCTTTTTATTTTCTTTTATTATCATTTATAGTACATACTTTTATATGTATTTAACCCACTATTTCAACATGCTTATTCTCATATCAAAAATTGAAACTTTCTGCCTTATAGCAATTAACAATAATAATATATGTGATTATCTAAGCTGTATCCATTATTTCTTTTCTACAAGCAGTGGAACTTAAGATTTTTAACCTAAACTAAATCTTACACTCAATGTTTTGAAGGTTATTGGGATTTATTGTTTCACTTGACCTTAACATTAATAAGATCCTATTTACCACACACTTAACATGTGTTACAGATACAAAATGACTTCAAAAACTAAAATAATGGTATTATCATTTACCATTATAATCAAGGCATATTTTGATGATATAAGGACAAAAGTATTTTCTAAGATTTTTAAAAACAATCACGAAAACATTTAAGAAAAATTGAAACAAAAAATATTTTTTATTTTTCTAAATACAATATTGAAATTGAATGCAGATGCATTTTGGAATTACTTTTTTTTATAAAAAATAGCATTTGAGAATTGATTTTGTGATGAAAAGAAGGCATTAATAAGTAAAAGGTTTTATATATTTTTTAATTTTCATTTTATGTCATCCATTCCACTCCTGCAGTTCTCAATTGTTCACATTAATTCAGCACAGTAACATAGTAGAAACACAAGAATCCAAGAAATGTATGATGTCATATGGGTGTCCAAATTTTTGTACATCGTAAATCAGTACAGTGAAGGCTGAGAGAGACAGTGAAACTTAATAACAATCTGTTATTAGAACTTATGACACATAAAATTGCAATTAAAAAAATTCCTTGTTGCTTCTAGTCTTCTGGATGAAATTTAAGTTAAAGACATACTATATTGAGCTTGGAGTTCAACCCAACAGTAAAGAATTTGTAACATATAAGTCAAGGATTATAATTTACCCAATGATAATGTTCTCTCAATCTCAAATGTAGAAAACATCAATTTTTAAATGACTAAACATTATGCAATGGAAGTAGTTAATGCTTTAAGTGGCAATGATAACAATATTTTTGGTAGACCTACATAATATGTCCTTTCACTATTAGGGACATTAGAAACAAGAAGTGTTTTTGCTACGTGGCTATTACAAAATCTGACATCTTTGCTGTGTGTGTGTAGACTGTGTGTTCCTGACACTGATAAAGGGTGAACAATTGAAGAATTCTTGTGTAGAAATTAAAACAACTCTCATTTTTTAGGATTTCTTTTAGATAAATCATGGAACATTTATTGTTAACATTATTAATTTTTCATTTAGTATTCCATTATAATATTTACTTGATTAATTTATAGCTTTCACATACTTGCATCATCTGCTGAATAGATTTAGGTGATCATTTTTCATTGTGTCATCTCCTATTGTTTCTTTCATGAAAGACATATCATTTTTGCAGTTCTCAAAATGACTTTCACTTTAATTTCTCTTAATTTCATTTATTCTACAAATTTACTCTTCCATCTTCAGCTTAAGCATTTTCTAGTCAATAAATATTTTATGTCTTGAAATAAGGGAAAGATCTTTTACTTGAATATTATTTTTTACTTGTCGCACAAATTAAAGAAGAGAAACACACACGCATCATACAACTGAGGCATATTGAATGTTTTGAGACTGCATACTATTACTATACTATTAACATAAATATCATTACTTCAAATGAGATAATCTATGTAAGAATTGGACAGTGTGCTTAATGAAAATTGCATAAAAAATAAATAATAATGTATGCTTACTTGAAGTTTTGGTAACATTCTGAACACAAAAGTCATTAAATTCGAGTAGTTGAAATATCATCACATACATTACACATACCATTCTTTTACTTCCCCAGTTAATAATTCATTATTGTAATTGTCTGTGTTAAAATTTTGTGGATATTGTTGTTCATGATCACTTGCTGTTAGGAGAGCTGCATTGGGGCCAGTTTGATGATACACCCTCTTGTCTTCAATTCGATACACTATTTGTGGACGTCCTTTATATCGCAGAATTAAAAGCACTATAATGATTTTTGCTATCACTGCTCCAGTAATGATAGCAATGATCAATGTCGTTCTTTCAGTGTCGACAAATGATGCTGTTGTGAGAACTGGAACTGATGTTGTGGTACTTGTCATTGCTTTGCTTGTGTATTCAGTACTGTGGGTTGTGAACACTGGTGAAAAAAATCATCAAAGAATAAATTAGAAGTTAAACCTTGTAACATTTTTCTCTAAATGTTGGTTTACTTCTTAATAAACATGTTCATTAATGCAAGCACAAAATCCCTGCAAAATAATATTAATATGATGAAGGTAGAGGGGACTTGTAACTTTTAAAAAATTCCAAAATTAAGCCTGTGTGGTTCACAAAACAATGCAGTGGGATGGCCCTATTATTTCCATCACCAAACCTAGCAGTACAAAGCCACTGCAGATCCTCTGCAGTAGCAAATAACTTCTCCACAATTTAATGAGATTGAGTTGCTCACCATCTCAGTGATCATAATGCGTCAGGCACTTTTTTTATTGGTAAAATAATGCTTGTATAACTTTGTTCATTTTTGCTTTACAGTAAATTTACACTAAAACGCTTATAAATATCCGAACGCGTTCGTTTTGACCAATTAACAGATTTTTTATCAGTGCTTGCTAGCGTTGGCTCACTCCTCTCTGGAATCTAGTCTTCTGCTCGCGGAGCAAGTCGCGTGTGCGAAAGTGATCGGAAGGTAATTTGCAAAACCTCGCCTCAGAAGACCCTAATTCTCAGGTTTTTATTATGTTGACAAACAAAATATCTCTCAATCCTCCACTTCTTTCCATTCACACTCCTCTCTTCGCTTTAGCACTGTGGCTCTAAGGTAATATAATAAAACACCAAGTCCTCTACTCGCTTCTGTAATTCGTACGTAATGCAAGAGAATCACATCCCTGGTGCGAATTCGCAGGTGGAAAGGGAAGCCCAGGGACCTCCAGTGAGAACAAGAGGACTGGGGGCAGTAGATACACAGGGGCCCTTTATTTCAAACAAAAGAAAGTTCCTCCGCCAGCCCATAAACAATTTATTTCTTCATGCAACACCAATAACTTACAATGGTTATTTTGAATTAGAAGTAAATACATTTCCCGTCCATTTCCTATCGTTTCCCTCTTGAGAGAACGATTTCTCCTGCTTCTCCACATCCATGGAAAATCAGTAATTTGTCAGGTGGCTCTATGATTTTCACACTTTCAAATATCCAGATCAAGAAAAACATTAAGACATTCAGAATGTTCTGCGTAAGTGACGATGATCTTGGTTTTACTCAATTCGTCACTCTCCTTCCCTCCTTTAAAACGCCCCCCCGCTGTGCCAATGCGCATCCTGAAGGAAACTGTGAGACGATTACGACTCACGAGGGAATATAAGTGAAACGTTTTCTTTTCTGTAAAAATGAGAGTATGTATCTTTCTATGCGTCACAACAACTTTTGGACCACTGGTGTTTTGCTCGCCAATTTTGCATGAATAGTTCTGAGCGGCCAAGAATTAAAAAAAAACAAACAACAAAACAGTTAAGCTCCTATTCGAAATGTTTCCTCTATAATGTGAATTTCTAACAATAGTTCAATGCAACTTCAATGCACTGAAGAGACATTGTTCCCGGGAATATCCGAGAGAGGAGGGCTGGGCGACTGGGGGG